TGAGCACCTGGGGAGGAGAGACCCATGTGGCCAGTAGATAGACAGACAGATAGACAGCTGGTTCCCCCTGTGGCTGGGTCCTCCCATCAAGGGGGCAGCTAAATCAACAGGCCCAGAAATCAGAGCGGGGGCCCAGGACCCGGCTGTGCACCAGTCTGCCTGTTTGTTTGTTTGTTCTGGAGTTGTGGGAACTTCCAGCCTGCAGGGGGCCCTGGTGCCCAGCGGGGGGCGCGGGGCGGGGGCCGGTGCTATTGCCCAGGTCTAGCTGACATCCCCATCCTGCCTGCCCTTCCCTCTCACCATCTCCCCCATCTGTTCTCGTGGACACTGGGCCCAGGAGACAGCACCCAGTGATGGGGGGCCCTGGGACTGGAGGGCAGCCCCCAGAGTGAGAGGGTGCAGACAGGAGGCTTTGACCCAGCTGTGCACCGCGGTGCAAACGCTGGCCCTTCCCCTCTCAGCTCTGAGGGGGCTGGTGTCACGGGGTGGGGGGTGTGCCTTCTCTTCTCCTACCCCCGCCTGCCTGCCAGTCACTCCCTTTGGTGTCCGCCTCACTCAGCATCTCAGTTTTCCTCTTTGTTTACCCTGCAGCCATCAGTCCCCCAAGGTTCTGGACCGGGAGGCAGGTGGCGCTGGGGTCCAGAAGCCTCAGGTCCAACCCCTCCCTGGCCACAGCTCAGCTCACCCCCATCCAACCCCCTCCAGGCCACCAGCGTGCACACACCAGGCTATTTCCAACTCCTGAGCCTTTCCAGGCACGCCATGGGTTTGTCTGCCCAGGCGCACTGAGGCATCTCTTAGCTGCTCAAGTCCTCCTCGCGCGGACCCCACTATATACCTTGGCCTCTCGGGCAGGGCTCTGGCTGCGGTCTGCCACACCCCACAGAGCTCAAGGCCAGGGAGAGACTCCTTCCTCTACCGGGGGTTTGTGTGAGGGCCCAGCACCAAGGACGAAGGGGGCGGGGAGGTGAGCTGGCACGGACTACCGCTTCAGTAGGGGGGTGCCCAGGGGGAAGGGCCGGGGGCAGTTAGGGGTCAACGGAGCCACTGCTCTCCCCAAGCTGGCGAGCGGCTTGCCCCCTTCGCCACCCCTGCAGGGCAGTGTCACAAGAGCCCAGGACGTGTGCACCTGGGGGTGGGGGTGTGCGCAGGGAAGCTACTTCAGCTCCGCACCCGCCCCTTGTGGCCTCAGCCCTGGCCATACTGGGAGGTCTGCAGCCCCCCAATCCTGGCTTAGCACCCTTCCGAGGGTGTGCAAACCCACCGTATAGGCGCAGCTGGTGCTTCCGTGAGCGCCCACTGGAGCGCTTGCTGGGCGCGGGAGGAAGAAGGTTGGACTCCGATTCTGGCTTTAACGCAAACCTGGCGCTGCCCGCACCCGCTTCTCCCCCGCTGCGCTGAGCTTTCCTGGGGTCTTCCCACTGCTCTGCGTAGCTAGGGACAAAGGGGAAGGAGGTCGCAGCACACCGGTCCCAAGGATCGGGAGCATGGTGGCCACTACTCACCCTTCCACGCCCACCGGGGCCCCTCAGAAAGCCACGTTCATCGGTGTCGCGGGCCAAGCACCATCGTTGAATAGAGGGAAGGCGGGGTGCTCCCGAAGGGCCAGGGTCTTGCAAGAGGTATCCCAAATCGGAGAGGTGGGGATGGAGCAGGGAAGGGAGAACAAAGCTGCCAGGCGCGCCGCTTCTCCCGTCTCGATCGAAGGTGGCTCCCCTCCTGCCCACTGCCACTGCCCTGCTGAGACTTGATCCCCCCAAGGGCCTAGGGCTGCGGGCAGGGGAGGAGCCGCTGACAGGGTACAGGCTGCGCCTGGTGCGGGGCCTCCCCGTGAGACGTCTGAGGCTGAGTTTAGTCAGGCGCGGGACGCAGTCCCTGGCTAATCAATCCTGAAACGAATTAATGGGGTCAAGTAAAGCCCAGCCCCCCTGTCTGAGCCCTGGGTGATGCAACCTGGTTCTACTCCACTTCGTTCTCTGATTCCTAGGGGAGGGGATCCCCAGTGCACCAGGAACCCACATCCTGTGGGCTGCCTGCACAGACCCATCTGCGTATGCTTTTGCCACAGATGGCCTGAGACCCGTTGTGGGCGCTGGTGGTATGCACCTTATCTCAAGGAGCACTTGGGCGCAAGGATCGGTGGGCTTCGTGCCTGCCAGAGATGCACAAGGGTGCACAGGTTCTTCTAAGGCTGGCAACAAGGAGGCCGGAGTGAATTCTGAGCGGTGGATGCGGCGCTGAGGATGTGCCTTTACAAAGGACAGAGAGTGAGGAGAGGGGTCCCCGCGGAAAGAGTGCAAGGGTGCCCGTCTTGAGGGCTCTCCTGGGGAGCCACTTGCGCTCTGGGGAGGCGGAGCCGGGCAGGCAACGAGTCAGCCAAGACTCTCCAGGGGCCGCCTCCTGCGCGCTAGGGAAAAAAACATCCGAAATGGGGCTTGAAATACGGTTTGCTTCAGGCGAAACTCCGAAGATGCTGGGGGAAGGTGGTAGTGAGTGAGCCGAGGCACGCAAGGCTCCCGGGCAGTGCTGGATCGCACCCCAGCACCCACGTGGGACCCTGCGCAGGGCCCAGAGGGAGCAGCAAAGGCTGCGGCCCTGTCCCTGCCGGGAGGGGCTGCGGCCCCAGCCCCAGTCTGCCACTGCCGTCTCCTGCCCTCCGTCAGACTTCTGGTCCCCACCCTGTACTACCGGTTGCTGGTCAAAGCCGAGCCTCGGTTTTAGGGCCTGTAAAATGGTCTCTTAGCACCCACCTCGCAGCCAGCCGGCGCCGCGAAATGCGGGTCTGGTCTTCACTCCGCGTCCCAGGCGGAGGGACCGGCCGCGAAGCCCAGGTCGCTACCGCACACCACGCTCTAAGGAGGCCGACCCCGCGCAGCTCAAGACCCCCGGCCGCGCTCTGCCCTCCGGGCCCGCGCAGCCAGGCCTCCTACCTCGCGGTAATGGAGACGCGGCCGGCAGGGGGAGCGAGGCGGAAGGGAGCCGCGGCCGGTCCAGGTGAGGGATGAAGCCTCCCCGCAGGCAGCGGCATGGCGTGCGCGCGGGACGGGGTGTGCGGAGCGCGGGGCCACTCGCGCGCGCCTTCCCTCCGGGCTGAGGCCTGCGCGAGGGGTGGGCGGTGCGAGCGGCTAGGAGCTCGGGCGGGTCGCCGGGCGCTGGAGCGTGGCGGAGCGGGAGGGCGGTGCGGCGCCCCAGGAGGGACTGAGGGAGGGTCGGAGGAGCGCAGTCCCGGTGGGCGGTGAAGGCAGCGGCTCTGACGCGGGCTGGAGGCTCGGACGGCCTTGCGCTTAGGGCCCCTTTGGGCCCCTCCAAGTCTAGAGCTCCAGGAGGGCCCGCGCGTGGAGCAGCGGGGGCCGGGGTTCTGCAGTCGCGCGGGTGAGTATCGGTAGCGGGTGGAACGAATCGTTCAGCAAACGGAGCGGCCCTGGGTGGGGCCCCTCACGCCTTCCCAGCTCCCTGTCGCGGACCACGAAGAATTCTCTTTGCTCTGGAGCTTTTAACGAAATAGCCGGTTCTGTAGGTTCCAGCTTGGGCAGGAAGGGGTTAATAAGGAACTGGGAGGACCCCCCCCTCCCCTCCACCACCTGGTCCAGGGAGCGTCGGGACCCTCAGGAGGGTGCCCCAGGAGGCTGACCCAGCGTCTCCAGGAAGCCCCAGGGTTTTTCACTTTCACTTCTCCCTTCTCAATATTGTCCCTGTCCTGAGACTCCGGCCACCGTTTTCAGGTGTTCTCCCAGACGCACACGGAAGGCTTCCCCCGGTTCAGAGGACTCGGCCACTGGCACCCTACATGCTGGGACCAGGTGCATCTCAGATAATGCACAACCATACCCCACCCATCCGGCCCCCCGCATAGACTGTGGGTCGGTGCAGCCGCCAGCAAAAGGTGCCCCAGGTGACATGGTGATGTGGCCCTGCACCCTTCTGGGTGCAGACGGGCAGCACCTCCAGCGGCAGGACCACAACCTGCCTCCGCTGATGCCCGCTCCCACCCTCCTGGAGCTCTCCCCTCTACCCTCCTGGAGCCCTGGCCCTGCTCAACAAGGAGTGTCCTGTATCACACTCCTCCTTGGACCGGCCCTAAGTCCTATAGGTCACTGTCACTGCCACAGCCCTGAGTGACCACTCAGAGCTGGAGATATGCCCTGGCAACAGCTTCCCTTTCCCACCACAGTCCACAAAGCCTAGGGGGCAGGGAGGGGCTCCCTGTGTGGGAGATCACACACGCTCACCCCAGCCACGCAGCACTGCTTACACGCTCACCCACTCTGCGCTCTGGCCTCATAGTCCTCCCTGGACCTCAGGCCCCAGAGCCAGGCACTTCTGACGGGACCCTAATCCCAGGTCCCCAAGTTTCTTCCCTGCCTCCCAGCTACCGCTGCCTGCAGCCTAGGGTCTGAGGCCCTGGGACTGTAAAAACCCTGGAAGAGGCTGTCTGCCCCCTACCCCCATCCAGACAAGCACAGGCAGATGATGTGGTTGCAGGCAGAGAGGCCTTGGAAAGGAGGCCCTGACTGCCAGAGTCCCAGTGCAGGGCCAGGGAGACTCCCGGGAGGCGAGGAGGCTTGGTGTCCCGCCGGGGAGACCTTGGACAGGAAAGCCATGGATGCCTGATACGGTCAGAGGAGGCCCCAGAGGCAGTAGGTGGGTGAAGGCTCAAGTCAGGCCTTTTTGTCCCGGATGCCTGGGCCTGGAGGCCTGGAGGCCTCGGGCAGGCCTTGTCTCTCTCTGTGGGGCCTAACTGCCCCAGGCGGGCAGGCTGGCTGTGGAGTGGGTGGCAGCGAGGGGCAGCACACCACCGGGCTGGGAGGCCTGAGCTCCGACGTGTCCTCAGCTCCCTCGGCCAGTCCAGGCCCCGCCCCTGGCCCTCCCTGCGCCTGGCCGGTGCGCAGGGAGGTCAGAGGAGCGGGCACTGCCCACCCTCCGGATGTATAAGCGTCCAGGCCAGAGGCAGGCGGCGCGCGGGTGCGCGTGACGCTTGGACTCCCAGGCTGGGCTGCACAGCCTGGGCGGTGTCCCTCTGCTTGGGGTCCCCAGCCACCACAGTGAGCCAACCGAAGGGGGCCAGGGGCATTTGCTGGGCTGGGTTCTGTCCTGCTGCGCTGAGGACAGGACGAAGCCACGGCCCTGGGCTTGCCTGCCTGTGGTCGTGCTGGAGCCTGAACTGCCCTCTCCTCACCCAGGTGCAGGGGCAGCCAGGGAGGAGGAGGCAGGAGGGACTGAGGGCAGGGGCAGGGCCGGTTGCCCCACGGCCTTGGGCTGGGGCTGAGCACTCCTGGTATAACCACCTTCCCTCTGGGGCTGTAGAAGCCTACAGAGGGAACCCTGACCTCGGCTGCGGCAGGGGGATGTCCGAGGGGCACTGGTCATGGAGGTCCCCGGGAGCAGAGGCGAGGGGCCAGGAGCCTGAAAAGCCGAAGGGCCCTGTGCTCCCAGGGCGCCCCACCCGTCTGGGCGCCTTGGCTGCCACTGGCCCAGAGTGGGGGGCCGTGACGCCATAATCCCCTGGGTCCGGGCTAACGGCTGTGAGTGGCACCGCAGGCTCCCGCCCCCGGTTCCCGTGGGCTGGGCCGGCCTCGGTGCGCCTGGGTGCACGCAGTCGGAGGCGGCGCCGGCCAGGCCGCCGGGTGCCTATGGACGCGCGGAGCCCGCTGTCTCCCCGGGCCAGCGCGTTCAGCATCGCCTCTCTGGTTGCAGCAGAGGCCGCAGAGCGTACCGCTCGCCTGGGCCCCGGGTCCTCCGACCGGGCGAAGCTTCACCGGCTGCTGGAATCCCCGGCCGGGATGCACTTCAGCACCGTCACCAGGGACATGGAAGGTGAGCCTTCCCGCTGCGTCTACACCCATTTGCCCTCCAGATCCTCTGCTGCTGAGGCTGCTGCTGCGGGACCCTAGCGAAGAGGGTTGGCAGGGCCGGGGCCCGGCGTGGGTGGGAGGGGAGCTCGGGCAGGGTGGGCTCCAGGCTTTCAGCTTCAGCTCTGGGGCGAAGGAAGAGCAGGCATCCTGCTCAAAGCCTGTGCACCCTCTAGCCTGGAGACCCAGCTGCAGAGACCTGCATGCAGCTAGACACAGGCCCAGAAAAGGGCTGGTGGAGGCTAGGAAGCACAGGACAGGAGGACCAGGGAGCAGTGGCAGAGGCAGTAGCCTTGAGCTTGGAGGGGTGGGATGAGAGTCACACAGGAGGAGAGTGTGAGAGTTAGGGAACGCGGGAGAGAGACAGGGAGAGCGGCGAGACAGCCAGGAGGAGAGGAAATTGAGAAAAGGAGAGGAAACACAGAAAACCTGAAAGGAGGGTAGAAAAAGGAGAGAGAAGAAAAAGAAGGCAAGAACAAAAAATGAAGAAAGTGAAGGAAATTTAAGAAAGTCATTAAAAAAAGAAAGAGAAAAACTTTAGTTCTTATTTTATTTCAAAAAAGAGGAGAGATGAATAACAAAGAAAGACAGAAACAAGAGGAAAAAGGCAGTTTGGAAAAAAGTGATGAAAAATAAAGTGGAAAGAAAAGAGTGGGGCATAACAGGAAAAAGAGGAAGAGGAAGAAAAGCAAACAAATAAAGGGAAACGAAAGAGATAGTGGAAGAAGGAAAGACGAACAGGAGGGAAAATTTAAACGATGAAGACAAAGGTAAAAAAAATAAACTGGAAGGAGAGGTTGGAGAGAGAAGGGAGAAATGCAACACGGGAGGGCGGCAAAGCGAGGGGCGGCGGACGGCCCGGCGCTCTGGGGAGCCGGTCCGGGCGGTCGGGGGGCCCGGGCCGAGCAGCCGCGGCGGGCGGGCTGGGGGCCGGGGGGGGGGGAAGGGGCGGAGGGGGGGCGCGGGAAGGGGAGGGGAAGGAGGCATTGTCTCGGCGGGGCGGGGGGGCGCGGGGCGGGGCGGGGCGGGGCGCCTCCTCGGGGCCGGCCCGCGGTGTGGGGCGGCGCGGCCCGGGGCGCAGCGCGGCGCCCGCCACTCGGCCCGGGGCGCGGGGTAGCGCTCACCTCGGCGGCGGGGCGGCGGCGGCGGCCCGCGGGTCATGATCTCCGCCGTGTCCAGCCCGTGGCTCACGCAGCTCTCGCACTTCTGCGACGTTGCAGCCTTCACGGCCAGCAGCCTGAGCAGCCTGGGGGCCGCCGGGGGCTTCCCGGGCGCCGCGTCGCCGGGCGCGGACCCATACGGCCCGCGCGAGCCGCCGCCGCCGCCGCGCTACGACCCGTGCGCCGCCGCCGCCCCGGGCGCCCCGGGCCCGCCGCCGCCTCACGCCTACCCGTTCGCACCGGCCGCCGGGGCCGCCACCAGCGCCGCTGCCGAGCCCGAGGGCCCCGGGGCCAGTTGCGCGGCCGCCACCAAGGCGCCGGTAAAGAAGAACGCGAAGGTGGCCAGCGTGAGCGTGCAGCTGGAGATGAAGGCTCTGTGGGACGAATTCAATCAGCTGGGCACCGAGATGATCGTCACCAAGGCTGGCAGGTCAGGGCGCCCCTCTCCCTGCCGCGACCTTACCCACGTGGCGCCGGTCTCGGGCAGCGGGCTTTGACTCGATCCACGCAAGTGGGTCCGAGAAGCGGGGTGGGGGGCGCGGCCTGGCCACCTGCGGGTCCCTCTCGGCGGGGCCAGCTCCTTCGCTCTCCGCGGTCCCGGCTCCAGCGACAGCCGCCTGGCGCGCCGGGCCAAAGGGGACGGCGCGGGAAACCAGGAAGGCGGCGGAGAGAAACTCCGCGGACCTGCCGCTTGACCAGCAGCCCCTAGACAGGGCGCCTCCGGAAACGGACCTGCTCGGCCGGGGCACACCGGGCTTAAGGGGAAGGCAGCTGCCTCTGAGGGGCCTCAGCCAGCTCACAGTGGATCCCACCTTAAAGGAAACGCGGTCTTTGGCTCCCTAGTTCAGCCTGTCCCTGCTAAAGAGGGGTCGGCTGTGCAACTGGAAGATTTTAGGGAAATTGGAATATTTTAGAGGAGAATTAAGACTCTAAAACAATGTGTTCTGTTCTGTGGAGGTTGCTACCCAGTTTTCTCAGGCCTAAATTCCGGGTGATTGTGGGGCCTGGCTCTGCGGCTGGGGCCCGCCGCCTTCCAATTGGCCTGTATTTGTTGTAAGGGCCCAGAGAGAAGGGGAACAAGTTTTTCGATGCAACGGATTTGACCAACAGACAAAGGCGGGTGCCGGGCTGTGTCTAATGTACACAGAGAGACACCAGCTCTGTGTCCGCCTGGTCAAAGGGAGCTCAGGGCCTGTTTGCAGAGCCTTCTAGTGGTTTCTGTTTCCTTGCTGAGGCCGTCCTCCCTGGGAAGCCTGGAGCCAGTACTTAGCTCCAGCTCCGCGGGTCTTCCCCAGGCTCTCCTTGCTGTCCTCGGCAAATGCCCCCCACCCCAAGAGGACTGTGCCCTGGCCTGTGGTCCAGGCCAGCCCAGTAAGCCTTGGCAGCAGCCAGGCTTCACCCCAGGAGCCAGCATTCTGCAGCACCCTTCGGCCTGCAGAGGCGGGGGTGGGTGGTGGTGGTGGTAGGCCTGTCCAGGAGGGCCAGCTCCCTGGCATCTGTGTTCTGCCCGGTGCCCCATAGGGAGTGAAGGGAAGCCGTAGGAAGGGCTAGGGGGCCAGGCCTAGTGCCGGGTTCCAGGGCACAGTGGCTGGCACTGCTGCCCATGGGAACAGGGCCGGCCTGCGGCCAGTGGGCCACCCTGGAGTGGTGTGATACCCTTTCAAGAGCCCGATCTGATCAAGCTGGAGTCCAGGGGAGGGACGGTCAGAGACTATGACGGCACAAACCAAGTCCACCCTGAGTAGCCGTGTCTTGTGGTTACGGTGAGAGGGCGGGAATGGGAACGTGCGTGTGTTCCCGAGGACAGTAGGGAGACTCCAGCCCCGGGCGGGAGACAGGGCCTGAGAGTCGGGCACAGTCGGGGCTGAAGGCTCCAAGGCCTTGGCCTTCCTGAGGGATTGGGGAGTAGCCGCGGACCCGGTTGAGAGAGCAACCGGGACTCTTCGGAATTACAGAGACTGCCCTGGTTTCACTTTGTTTGATCCGGGAGCTTAGATGGAGCTGGGGCGGCTCTGTGGAGGGCTGAGAACCGTGGGACTGGGTCCTGCTGCCTCGGAGTTGCCAGCTGAGGCTAGCTCGGCGGTTGCGAGGCTGGGCCCACACAGGCAAGGGTGACAGAAGCAACTGGTCGTGGTTGGGGCATGAAGGTTCAGCTCCGATGCTGTGTTAGCCATTTTTGTGCTTATAAAAAGAGATCGGGGGCTGCCCTGCCGCTCCTCTTGCCCTGGCTGGGCAGGAGCCTAGTCGGGTTAGAGCAGCTGAGTGAGGGGAGAGGAGATGGAGCGACCAGGCCCACAAACGAAACGCAGCAGTCGGCAGGAAGCCTGTCCTTCCCCTGCTGGTGAAGGCCGGCGGCAGCCCTGCCCTTCTCCACCTGAGGTGACCTGCCCCCCTGCTGTCCCCAGGCGTATGTTCCCCACTTTCCAAGTGAAGCTTTTTGGCATGGACCCCATGGCCGACTACATGCTCCTCATGGACTTCGTGCCTGTGGACGACAAGCGCTACCGGTGAGCGCCCAGTAGGACCTGGGAGGGCGCCTTGGAAAGCCACGGGTCCCTGCCTGGCGATGCCTCGGGTGCAGCCCACGGCATTCGTAACTGGATGGTCCCTGGCACCTGTGCCAGCAACCTGCGTGTCCCGTTCCCTCCCTACCTGGTTGGACCGCAGACTCAAACACCCTACCCCAGATGACCTCCAGAACTCCCGTTAGGAGGTCACACAGGCTGGTTGCCACCCCACCACTGTAGACCCAAGGCAGCTCCCATACCCCGGGGCTGGCTTGGGAGTTGGGAGGGGGGCAGGCCCCAGCACATAGCATCCCCTTTCTTCCCATCTGCTCCCACGAGGTGAGCCTGCGCACCCTGTCCCCTTCCCTCATCCTCAGGGAATTGTGGGCTCCTCGAGCAGGGCAGGAAAGGTAGGGTGACTGGGGGAGATTATGCAGGGCAAGTCTTAGCTGCCTGGACAATTAACAGCAATTAATAAAGAAGTAGTTTGCCCTGTGCCCCAGGCCCCCTGCGCGGCCAAATTGGGCTCCCTCTGAGCAGTGACACTGGAGGCCAGTGCTGGGAAGCCCAGAACAGTCAGACCCGCATGCGGCGAAATGTGGCACCAGGAGCTCAGCCTCCCTCCTCCCTCCTCCGTGCCTGGCTTCCTGCTGTCTTGTGTACTGGGACAGGAGGGAGTTTTCTGTTTTCTCTGCAACCCCCTCGGAAAAGCTCCCAGTCCGTGTGGCAGCTGAAGCCTCGATTTCACCGATGGGGAAACTCATCAGAGGCACTTTCTCGGGGTTCACTCGGCAAGGCCCTCTCGGTTCATCCCCACATGGCGTGACCTGTGCTCCGGTGCCGTCCCAGGTACGCCTTCCACAGCTCCTCCTGGCTGGTGGCCGGGAAGGCAGACCCTGCCACTCCAGGCCGCGTGCACTACCACCCCGATTCGCCTGCCAAGGGCGCACAGTGGATGAAGCAAATTGTGTCCTTTGACAAGCTCAAGCTGACCAACAACCTGCTGGACGACAACGGCCACGTGAGCGACCCCCTTCCCCAGGCCACCACTCTGTCCCCCCTGCATGCCCTCTGGAATCCCTGCTGACCAGAACGCGAGGCAGGGCTTGGGCAGCTTGGGGTGTGGATGAGGGACAGGCTGCAGAGAGCAGCCCTCGGGTCAGGGGCTCACAGGGTCTGGCGGACCTCGGGCCTGGGAGGGTGGCCCCCGTGCTTCCCTCACCCTATTCCTGATCTTTCCCTGCAGACTTTTAACTGGAAAGGATGGGGGTGGGCATAGGTGCAGGAGGCTTTTAGGGAATCCACGCTGGCGATGTGGGTCGCAGTAGTTCTTGGGGGCACAAGGAAAGAGAACTATGTCCCAGTCTTTTGCCACTTGGGAGCGTCTTTCCTGGCGGCTCCCATTCAGTCATAGCTTCTGCTTGGGTCCCATGGCCAGGCCTCATTTCGGGAGTTAAGGGTTTTGCCCAAGTTCTCTGGGACGTTCACTGCCTCTCCAGACCTTGGCCAATTTCCTAGCTCCCGACTCGCCATCTTGTCTTCCAGATTATTCTCAACTCCATGCACAGATACCAGCCCCGCTTCCACGTGGTCTACGTGGACCCCCGCAAAGATAGCGAGAAGTATGCGGAGGAGAACTTCAAAACCTTCGTGTTTGAAGAGACGCGCTTCACTGCCGTCACTGCCTACCAGAACCACAGGGTGAGGCCCTGAGGACCGGCACCTTCAACACTTCTGGGATGGGGTGCAATTTTCAGTCCCTGCCTGGGGAACAGAAGGTTTGGACCTGCAAGTTGTGGGCCCCAGTGGAACAACCCGCATGCAGCCCCACCCCCCAAGGGGCTCGAGCAGCCCCCTCCCCTCGGCCGCAGGACGTCCCAGCCTCCTATCAGGTTGACCTCTCAAGCAGCAACTGTCAATGTGGCCTGAAAGTTTGTTTTCCAAACCATTCCGGAAACTCCCCGTCAGGGGCCAGATCTGAGATTTACCCAGATTCCTAGGGCGCCCCTTCGCTCTTCACTGCGGGGTGGGGGTGGAGGTGACCACATTCCCATCCCAGCCAGGGGCTCAGGGTCTCCATCCGAACCACTTGGGGTCCCCAAAGGGGTTCCTTCTCAAGAAAGGAGGCTCCGGCAGACGTCCCCGGCGAGAGGCACAACCTCCATGGGGGAGGGGCAGCTGTGGGCCGGTTCTTGTTAGCAGAGAGTAGAGGGCTCCTTCCTGGAGGAGCCCTTCTTTACACTCCCCAACTCTCCGCGGAGGTCTATGGCCCCCAACGCAGGGGCTCAAGCTGCTTGCTCAGTGCCCTTTCCCGCAGATTACTCAGCTCAAGATCGCCAGCAACCCTTTCGCCAAAGGCTTCCGAGACTGCGACCCAGAAGACTGGTGAGTGTCCTCCTAGGAAACCACGAGCGCCGGGCGCCTGAGCAGGGCGCTCCCTGACCCACCGCCCGCCTCCCTCCCGCAGGCCCCGTAACCACCGGCCCGGCGCGTTGCCGCTCATGACCGCCTTCGCGCGCTCGCGGAACCCTGTGGCCTCTCCCACGCAGCCCAACGGCGCGGAGAAAGGTAGGGCCGGGGTCGTGGAATCCGGGCCGCGGCCCTGCGCGCGCTCCGCCCCCCGGGAGGTGGCTGCGCCCGGCCTTGCCTGCGCCTCAGGGGCGCTCGCGGCCTTCCCGCCGCTTGCACAACGGCCGTGGCGGCGGGCAAGCGCGCACTCGCCCGCCCGGCCCGACGGCTGAGCCTCGCCCTGCCGCCCGCCCTGCCGCCCGCGGAGGGGTGCGGGCTTCTGGGGAGGGCCAGGGTCTCTGCTGGTTCCGGGAGAAGGGGCGGGAGCGGCCTAGCACCTCCTCCTGCCGGCGGGACTCTCGCGGGTCCCTTCGGCGGTTCGGCCCCTGCGCTCACCGTGGGCGCTTCTCGCAGACGCAGCCGAAGCCCGGCGAGAATTCGAGCGCGATGCAGGCGGGCCGGCCGTGCTCGGGGACTCGGCGCCTCCGCCGCCGCTGCTGGCGCGCGTGCTGAGCCCCGCGTTGCCCGGGGCTGGCGGCGCCGGCGGCCTCGTGCCGCTGCCCGGCGGGCCCGGTGGCCGACCCAGCCCCCCGCACCCGGAGTTACGTCTGGAGGCGCCCGGCGCGTCGGAGCCGCTGCACCACCACCCCTACAAGTACCCGGCTGCCGCCTATGACCACTACCTCGGGGCCAAGAGCCGGCCGGCGCCCTACCCGCTGCCCGGCCTGCGCGGCCACGGCTACCACGCGCACGCACACACGCACCACCACCCGGTGAGCCCGGCCGCCGCTGCCGCCGCCGCGGCTGCCGCGGCCGCCGCAGCCGCCAACATGTACTCGGCGGGGGCCGCGCCTCCTGGCTCCTACGACTACTGCCCCAGATAACGCGGCCGCCCGCCCGCCCGCGGGCCCCGGCAGCCCTGAGGCCGGCAGGGAACGCGCCCCAGCCCCGGGCCACCGCGGGTCCCTGCTTCCCCAGCCTCGCAGCCATGGGGTCCTCCACCCTTCGCCCGAGCGCAGTCGAAGGACCTGGTTCCACAGCTCGGGCGCCACCGCGGCCCTCCCGTCCCCCAGCCCCGGGGCCACGGGCCGCGCCGCCAGTGCCAAAGCGCCCGGTCAAGCGCGGAAGGAAGTGATATTTATTGTTCTCCGCGAGACCGCGTCGGCCCGTCCCGGCCAGCAGTTGCAGTGTAGACCCGAGAGCCCTGTCTGCAGGCGGTGTAGATACGTGTAGATATTTGTAGATACTGTAGATAAACAGCGCCGTCGGCGACTTGATAAACGGTTTGGCCTCTTTTGGAAGCTGCCTGCGTGTCTATTTATTTGCGATTAGTTAGATCACGCGGGGGTTCCCGGGGATCTAAGGGTCTGTCCAGCCCCAGTACCCGTAGACCGCAGGTCGGGCCTTGGGCGGAGCGGGGGGTCCCAGCAGTGCCCTCTGCGTCCCTTTCCATAGCCTCTTCCCGGCCACGCCTCTCTCCGCCCGCGCGGCGCGGCGCGGCGCGCTGCCCGCCGGGGTTTGCTCTCACCGCCCCCTCCCGGCCTTTCCCGGCCCTGCCCGCACGCCTCTCCCGCTCGGACCTAGCAGCTTCACCCTGACCTCTCCCAGGCTGTGGGCACCAGGGCTCTGCGCAGCCCTGAATGTGCCTCAGGCCTTTTGCTTAAATTCATTACACGGGCTGTTGTCTCCCTTCTAGAACTTGGGCCCACGCCCGGGCCTGTTTTCAGGACCAGTGCCGGTCCTGAGTGCTTTTCCACGGAAGCTGGGCCTGACGGTCAAGCCAGAACACTGTCACTGGGGACTGGAAAGGGAGAAGCCCTGACTCTGATAAAGAAAAGACAAAAACAGGCAGTACTGCTCTCCTAGCATTTCCCCTGGCTGGCCCTAGCCCGGCCTGCGTTTCCCCCTGTTTATTGACTCTATTCACTCTGAGTGTCCCCATGGAGTGACCTGCACAGGGGGCACAATGACAGTGGTCATGAGTCATCTTAAAACCTGTCTGTGAAGCATTTTTCCCAGGCCAGGTGGTGAGGGACCTCTCCCCATTAACTCAACACCAGGGATGGGACAGAGGAACCCTTTGATCCCTCCCTTCCTGAGTCCTGGCAGGAAAAGCTGACAGCCAGTCAATGTCAAGGCTACTAACTTGGACACAAAATGAATGGGAAATGCAAGTGGTCAAGGTTCTGTCCCAGTGTGTGTGGCAGTCACAGCCCCAGGGCAATGGCAGCCTGATCCCACCTCTCAAAGGGCATGGCCAGGCGCTTCCTGATGTCTGCCCTGGACTGGACGCTTTTTTCCCAGGTGTGTTTGCCCCGGGGGATGTGAAGTGGCCAAGAAACCGGATGGCAGGAACTGGTCCCATGAGGTGGGTCTAGGAAGGAAGTGGGTGACCAAGGCTGATGAAGAGTGAGCTCTGGAACCAGGGCTCCCCAAAGCCCCCCAGGGCGTCTAGTGCCAGGGCGCGAAGACTCTTGCAGCATCTGCTCAAGTGGCCAGCAGGCTCCGTGGACACAGCTTCAGGGATGCACTCTCCCAAGGAAAGCTCTAGACACCCGTCCCTGATGGACACCCGTTCACCCCCCACTGCAGATGTCCCTCTGGGGGCAGCTTGTTCTGAATTTGCACCTCAAATGGACCCACACCCTTCCTTGTCCTGGGCGGCCGGCAAGAGTGATGGGCCGTGGTTGGCCCTGCAGAACCAGTATCCCCTGCAGGTGCTGGGCACCTCTCCGGGGCCCCCTGTGACTCTCAGGCCTCCCTCTCTGCACACTCTCCACACCCAGGCCATGGGGCGGGGGGGAAGGGGGCCAAGAATCTCAGTTGGAGAGATCTCCGTTTTGCTTTTGTTCAAAACTAAAGCAAGGAAAAGCGCCACTCTGCACGGATGATGGCGTCTGGGGTTTGCAGACGAGAGGATGCAGCCAGCACGTGGATCCTGGGTGTGCAGCTTGCCACTTGTGCACGTGATCCCCCTCTGCCCCCACTCCCCGCCCCGCCAATCACAAACCTCTTGAGATGGAGAGCCACGCTGCTGTCCCACACGGTGTTCACCAGCCAGAGGGAGCTGCTTAGATTTAATGAATGGAAATAGAATAAGATTAAACATTGGGTTCCTCACTGGCTGCATTCTGAGTGCTGGACACTACTAGGAGGGCTTGCCTTGCACTGGAGAACAGCCCCCAAAGGCAAGGTCTTCTCTACTGGAGAGATGAGTTTGCCCAGCTAAGAACTTATAAATGGGATCGTGCAGCGGGGTGCCCGGGCTGGCTGGCCCACGTTGCTGCTTGCCTGGCAGTTCTCAGTGCTGACCAGTGTCCAGCCGCCTGCGAAGAAGGGCACATGGTGGTTTTAGGGCGGATGCTTCAATGTTTGGTGCTGAGGGCGGGGCCGGCGCCTCCAGGCAGCCCTGCCCTGTGCGGGTCCTGCATCTCCTCGCTGTGACCTTGAATCCCGGGATGGGGTGATGAAGGAAGGGCTGGCTTGGGTTATCCAACTTCTACTGGGGGTTCTGAAGTTTGGAAAGGCACCAGGACCGTCTCTTGGTCATTCGTTCCTGAAATGAGTGGTTGGAGAGCACCCCCGGTGCAGGGTCTTTCTGGTCACCGTGTGTGGGGCTGGTGTAACTCTGGGCGTCTGCCCCTGGGCAGTCCTTGCCGTCCTTGTGAAGCTTCTATCCCAGCAGCTTCCTTTCTGTGACCGGCTTCTCCTTCTCACTTCCGTTTCCCCCACTTGCCTGCCCTTTCTGTGAGCCACTGTGCTCTGCAGGGATCGGGGGTCTGTCCACCTGCCTCCTCATGGGCTCATCCCTCAGCTGTTGGCTGCACCCACAGCACCTTCCTCTGGGTCCCCCAGTTGGCCTTGCAGCCCCTTACCTGTCTCTAGGTGTCCAACTACCAGGATTTGGGAGGCCAAGAGTTTGGGCTAGTGAGGACCTCAGAGGTCTTCTGTTCCAAGGACCCCAGACTCCCTCACCCTAAAAGTCCTTCAGAAAACAATAGACACCTGCCCTGACCAGTGTTGCTCACTGGGTTGGACACTGTTCACAATCTGGAGGGTCACTGGTTCCATTCTCAGTCAGGGCACAGGCCTGGGTTGCAGGCCAGGTCCCAGGCTGGGGGTATGTGAGGGGCAACCAGTTGATGTTTCTCTTACATCGATGTTTCTCTCCCTCTCTTTCTCCCTCCCTTCCTCTCTCTAAAAATAAATAAATAAAATCTTTTAAAGCAATAGACACCCAGTGTGTAAAATAGGTAAACTCTTGACCAAGTGGAGGAGGGGTGGGCCTGTCCACTCCCCGCTTCGCCCCTTCTGGGTCCCTTGTGAGGGGTTAAGGAGCCCGAGGACCCTGGAGTGTGGCAGGATGGCCCCAGGCAGCCCAGCTCCCTGTTTGTGGAGGAGAAAGACCAGCCCAGAGCCACTGCGACCACTGTCCTCAGCTGCAGAGCCTCCGTCTGCGACTTCAACATTCCTGCTTCCAGGAAGGCCTGGGAAACTCTGCCCTGCTGGTTAGGATGTCCCAGCACCACAACGGGCATTTGGGAGGACTCGCCAAGTGCCAGGTGCCCTGAGGCCCCACTCTTGCTGCCTCTTTTCATCTAAATCTGAGAAGAGCCTAGAAGTGGGAGCTCTGATAGTGACCCCACGGAACACAAGGCCTTGTCCACAGTCTCATGGGTGGTTCGAAGACGCTCCGAACTAGTACCTTCCATTGTGTTGCCACTTAGTAAAGCTGGCGACGCTGCACGCTTTTATAGGGACAAAGAGAAAGAGCGTGCTGGGGAGCTGTGTGGTGCTGCAGATTTGGGCACTGGTCTCTTGGCAAACATCTTGGAGGAGCTGGTTACAGTCTTCTCCTCGGAGACGTGGGGCACGGAGGGTGAGCGCTGAAATTTGGCCACAAAATGAGGGGAGTAGCAAGGGGGGCCTTGTGGCTGTAGGGCTCCAGTCTCCGCCCCAGGGAGCTGCAGCCCCCCTTTCCTCTCACTGGGGAAGCCCACAGAGTGTGTGGGACCCATATGACTGTGGCTGGGTGAGCTTGAGGCACTGATCTCCAGGTGTGCTCCAGATCAAAGCACCCGCGCACCGGAGAATTCCCGGGGCCGCAGCTGCCGAGGGCAGAGCCGTGTGCAGGCAGACGGAGGGGAGGTGGGGGCGAGGAGCGTCTTTTAGGACTAAAGGGATGATTCCAGGGATGGCAGGAGCACGGCCCTGCCTGCAGCTGGGCGCAGGGAGAGTGTGCTCACTGGGTCCACGGGCCTGTGCCTCGGTTTCCCCTTGATGTCGTGGTGCTGACCCCTGCCTGTGCATCTGATGCGTCTGCCCCTCCTGACCCCACGTCCCTTCTCCCAGCCACCCTCACCCCTCAAAGCCGCCTCTGTCCAGCCAGGGAGGACGTGGGAGAACGGCCCTGCGGTCCGGCGGTGGCACCCAGCCCCGAGAGGGGAGGATGGGGTTGTTTCCTGGTCTACCTCACACATTTTCTGTATTTAAGAAAAATACACAGCCGTGCCTTTGATTCGATTCCCTTTCCTGCTTGTCGCACTACTTCAAACCAGATGGCTCACGAGATGAAGCTCTGGAGTCTCAGCGTCTGTTTAACTGCCGCCAGGCCGGTGTGTGGGAGACAGCGAACCAGAGGTATTTTGTTAAAAGCAGCTCACGTAGGGGAGAAGCTTAGGTCTTAATAGCAGTAATTAAATTATCTTCTTAATTATAAAGAGGAATGGCATTGTAGACATCCTTTATCTATCAGTTTTCAATTGCACAAAGTAAGCGCTTAATCCTCTCCTTCCAGCGGCTGCCGCCTGCTTCTCCCCCCGGGCTCACGGGGGCCTGCCGCTGCCACGCAGACATCCATCAGGGACACAGGAGGGCGTGTCAACTGCGTCAGGGATTCTCAGGCGGCTGGAGTTCCCCACATCTCAGCACCCCTGGCGTCGGGACACGTCTCTGTCCAAGGGGCTCCCGCTGTAACGGGAGGTCTTTTCCTCGGGGACTCAAGCACCTTGTAGTCGATGGGGCCCAGCCTTGAGGAACTTGGCCATCCTTTGGTCACATATTTCTGTGTGCCTGCTGAGCCCAGGGGACCCGGAGCACCCCTGGCTGCTGGCATCTCACCCCGGGAGACCGTGCAAATTAGAACCCGGCTCCTCAGGCCTCAGCCCCCGAGCTGCGCCCCGCCTGGGCCCGGCCCTCAAGGCTGCCTGCCCACGCCCCGCCCCACCCTCCCTATCCCCTCCTCTCCTCTGTGCCACCCTAGCCTCTTGGCCTGTCTTAGTTTTTT